GAGAGAGAGAGAGAGAGAGAGAGAGAGAGAGAGAGAGAGAGAGAGAGAGAGAGAGAGAGAGAGAGAGAGAACATATAAGTCTCGAACCTCGCTGCTGGCCGTATGGTACAGTCATCAATAGGATGAGGAAAATCCAAGAATCTACCACTAGAACATGCAACACACACATGCAGATAGACAGACACACCCGCACACGAACCAACACACACACCCGTTCACGAACGCAAACAACCGAGTCCACCCAAACATGCACGACAGCGAAAAAATACGCACCAATCGTGGTAGGACCTTTTTTTCCCTTTTTTTTTTTTTCAACTGCAACCACATAAGTTTGTGTGTGTGTATATGTGAGTATGTGTGTGTGTGTATGTGTGTGTGCGTGTGTGTGTGTTTGTGTGTGTGTGTGTATGAGAGAGAGAGAGAGAGAAATAACAGGTAAGTCTCCAACCTAGCGGCAACCATGGTACTTCAATCGAAAGGATGAGCAAAACTGAATGAATCTACCGCTAGAACATGAAAATATGCACTTCCAGACGTGTGTGTGTGTGTGTGTGTGTGTGTGTGTGTGTGTGTGTGTGTGTGTGTGTGAGTGTGTGTGTGTGTGTGTGTGTGTGTGTGTGTGAGAAAGAGAGAAAGAACTGGCACGTGAAAAATAGGCAGAGAGGGAGAGAAAGACAAGGAGAGATGGTTAACGGTGTCGCACTTTTTTCAGCCGAGCCACCTCGGGCGACCGGAAAGCCAACAGGCTGTCACGCAGGATTTTGTATATAAATTGCAATAAATAAAATGAATTAAATAATGCAAATCCCTTCCTGTTGTGTGCGTCCGGCTTCGAGCGAGACCCTTCAATTGCGATCTTCGCCGGTCCCCGATCTTAGGAATCTTTTATTTTGATTCAGAACAGTAGAGAATTATGCAAATAAAAATCATAAAATTATGGGGTGCAATGCATGCATCAATTATGTCAATCTGATTTTGAGAACTGTGACAAAACATCCACGAAGACAATCATCAAGCAAGAATAATGCAAGAAATAAGACTGACTGACTCGAGCAAAGACAGGGGCAATTGAATGAGGGAAGAATGAAAACTCATAATAATCTCAGAAAGTACACATAAACAAGCATGGTCAGCACCTCTCAGGAGTCCTCACTCATCCCTCTGGTCAGTCTCTTTCAATCTCTTTTCACTGCTCTTCTCTGGTGCCGAGACCTACGCCCACGTACAATCAGAGACTAAGGCTCCGTGACAAAATGCCACTTGTAGCCAGCAAGCTCTGAGCATGACCATCCGAGGCACATGACACAGGAGTTAACCATGGAGCAAAACTCCTCCCATAAAGTAGGCAGTCCGTCCACTGAGAAGACTCCTCGGCTGAGGTAAGGATACTCGGTGGGCTCGATCAGCGCCTCAACGTCGATCACTGCAGGAGAGACGTACCTCTTTGCCATACTAATCAGATCCAGCCAACTTGTGTCATCTGTGAGAAGAGAAGGGACTGGAGGCCTAGGATAGTCAGTATAAAGCATCGGCCCAAAGCTGCGGATCAGAGTAGTGTCACTCTCATCGAGCTCCCACTCTCTCTACTCAAGGTATTCGGTGGCTGAGATCCAGACTGGATCTAAAAGCTTATGAGTCTCCTTGCCCTTCTTCTGGTAAGGCCTCAAATCGTGGATAGTACCATCTGCAAATCGTGGACTTTAACCGTGTTGTTGTGGTCCATATTCTCACTGGTCTCTCGCTACATCAGTTCACCCAACTTAAGGTGTGTGACTCTTGGATGATCCAGACATGAAAAGGCCTTTGGATAGATTGTTGTTTGAACAATTGTCTCAGATGCCATTTCTTGTTGCAGTTCCTGGTTNGTGACTCTTGGATGATCCAGACATGAAAAGGCCTTTGGATAGATTGTTGTTTGAACAATTGTCTCAGATGCCATTTCTTGTTGCAGTTCCTGGTTGCTKTTCTCGGTTGCCATTCTTAGTTGTCAGTTGYCATTTGAGTTGTCRGYTTACTGTTTAAACGCAGGGTGAGTGGAGACTGATTCCACCKTGGAGTGCCATTAAGTGCACCATTCTAGGTACTGTCCTGGTTGCGGTCCCAAACACCACCCTGACAACCGCTATGAATGTCGTCCCCAAATGCATTCCGGGGTAYAGTCTTGTTCTGAACGAGGCTCTGAGTACTGAGTCTAAGCACCTTCTTCCTTTGATCTTTGGTCTGAATGTCTAGATGTTTACTATTTTGAAYGCTGATCATCTGTTGGCTGACTGCTGGTCCTTTGCTGACTGTTTGCTGATTGGATTGCTGCTCATCCGCAGTTCCRTTACCRGTTAATCGATGCTGCCATAATCRCMTGTCCCAATGTACTGTTTCTAACTGTTGGYCGGTTACTGAATACTAACTAAGTTGATGGCTGAGAGGCGATTAACATAATGGTTAMGTAATGACTGAGTGGCCGCAGGATACARTTCTGAACACTGCCAGGAGCCCTGYACGGAGTACTGCTTTGAGCACTGAATGTTGCTCTTAGTACTTGCCCGAATGTTGTCTGAGTACTTGTCTGAATGTTGTCTAGGTACTTGTTTGAAAGTTGTCTGAGTACTTGTCTGAAATTTGTCTGAGTACTTGTCTGAAAGTCGTGGTTTACTATGTTGCCTTGCTGCAGGTGGAGGGTTCAATTGGTTGCCACCAAAAGTTGACAGAGTTTCGTATGTACCACTGCACAGTGTTTAGAGTGYTGYAGAACTCATGCAAGTCTTGCCCTGGCCTGTTCCACGCTTTCTAGCGAGGAACTGGTACTATGCAGCTYGTTATCGGATCTGTAGAAGTAGATCACATATTCGATGTACCTCCTCCCTCCTGCTATACCAACCGCGAACTCTCTCTGGGGTAGTCTGTATTTTTCTGTWTCTCTGAGAGCCTCTTCCTCCCAACCCTCTCTCTTGTTTCTAAATAATCTGCTCTTTACTACTAATACCTCACTGTCCCTCATGGTCACCAATCTAGGTTGATTAAAATGCCTTGCTTGCCCTCCCGGTCAACAGCCTTGACATTGGGCTCATTATTAAGGGTTCAATCTGCCGCCGTATCTTTATCATCAGACTGCAGGGCTCGTCCCCTTGCTGCGTTTTTTTTTCTTCTTTTTATTGAAAACTGCTCTGTTCGTCTGACAGGGCACGACCCAGAATATAATTAGCTCAGGGAGAAACAACCCTTTTCGGACCTTGAAAACCACTGCTCTTAATTGTCTAGCTAGCCCTTACAAATAAAGATAAAATATGGGGGGTTGATCTCACGCCCCTCCAACTATCTGACTTGTAACAGGTCATTGGACTAGCCGAATAGTGTAGAGGAAAGGGTAAGCTTTGCTCTCTACTCTTGATATTTCCTACTCAGGTTGTTTCTAGGCTTATCCTGAACTGMAACACATCTTTAACTGGTCTTCCATCCATTAAGCATATTTCCCCTAGGAAATGACCCGTGGTGATGTCCGTAGCCAGAGATCTACGCTTGGTGCCCGAGCTCAGTGCGTGAACAACACAACCATGATTTGTTTTTCAAACTCATAGGTCACATCAGAGCATGCTGTGCTAATCACTTATCAGAGTCATGTTCGTGGACATCACATGCAGGACCTATGTCTGAGTAACCGACGATTAATCACCGTCAAGCAAATATTTGACTAACAGGTAAGCAATACTCCTTAGGATTGAGTGCCTTCGTCTCATCAGCARTTTACTAAAAGGGACAAATTAGCCCCGACTTAGTCAAACGTCAAGGCASACTTCCAGCTTCCCTTTCCCCTCTTCTCATCACTAAACAAAAACCACCCGRCTTATTTGACTTCCAGTCCCAGGCAATTTTCGGCTCTCACAAACATGGCACTGGGTAGGGCACTACCCACAAAATRAGGGCAGAAGAAAACGGGAATAGAGATAAGGCCATTTTAATCGAGTGACCCTTGGTTTTATTCAATGTCTAGTGGTCGAACCCCTCCGCTCAATGATAAACCAGTTTTCTCAAAAGCCGTCTAGGTGACTCTTAGCTGGTCCTCGCTGTTGGAAACTGGTTTCCAGAGGTGTTCTCAATCGAATGATCCCTCTCATTTCCCTTTCTCTAGTTAGCTATCAGAAACCAAAGTCATAGCGACATTAATTGAAATCTTTGGATAGTAAGCATTAAAAGAGTAGCGCTCCCCATCTAATTTACTAATAAAAATCAGGAAACTAGTTTGTCCACTTTCCGATAAGCGAGGGAACCTACAAAAATTACACATGAACAAGGCTTTATCAGTTGTCACGGCACATCGAGGGTCACGTCTGARCTTCACTTGACAAGGAGCAAACCAAAACAGCGTCTTAGTATGTTGCCAGATCGTCGATCAGACTCTAATAAGCAGAAAATAGTGCAGTTTTGCATAGTGATTCTTATCACTCCACACAACACGAAAGCGTAGCACCCCCGAAACTACATCAATCAAAGCATTACACACAGAAAGAAAAGGTGGTGAAAATATTGAGTATTGACTTAGAGACTCAGATTAAAGGTAGGCGGAAGTCATGTACCCGGATCTAGGATAAACGGAGTATTACTTGAGTCCGATACTTCAATCCTGAAGAATCCGAGACCCGGCGTGTTTGACCGTCGCTCCGGGAAAACAACTATTGGCTTTCGATGACGGTACGAATCCACAGGAAACCAATGGTCATTAGCAATGCATATTTTCCAAGTTCGCAGTGTGACAAACAGGATGAGCTGCAGACAGACAACTTGAGACAAGAGCAGTGATCAGCATGGTGGGGGACAAAGAGACACTAGCCTTAGCATTTCAATGCTTTAGTTGATACACTACTCAGCATGAGTTCTACGTTACCAGCTTCCCGCGCTCTCAATCACTATGGCTCAATGTCACCCGTAAAGAGGGTAAAAAATCATTCATTAGGAACTTCTCATACTGGCACACACACGAGTTTCTCCACTGACAATCTGAGTCGCTCGTTACTTGTGCATAATCTCTAGTTTTCCCGCGTTCCTGACCTCCCTTTCCTTGCTGGCGGGTCTCTGTTAGTCATCAGACATCCCCAGGTTCTGTTGTCGTGAGCAGAGCTCGCCAACAGCTCTCACTTGCCGATCTCTCCCGCTCACGGGTCTCACCGGCTCCGGCTAGTAAGTGCGAAACCATCTGAGGAAATGATAAAAAAAAGGAACACCAAGAAGCGATGGCGAGTCGTCGTGTCTCTCTGTTGAGGCCGAATACACCTTTCACGAAAAAGGAGAAGGAACAGACATATCCCCCGAAATGGCAGGCCAAACTGGGGGATGAAGCGAAAGTGACACCATCGACACTATACCCGTAAAACTTCTCTCTGCTCCTCTCCCCTCTCTCGCTTTTCCTTCTCCCTCTGCCGATCGTAGTTAGCCCATGTCTTACACGAGTATGCAAATAGTGGTTGTCGTCAACACACGTTACGCGCGTTCCCTTRCCTCGMTCTATGACCTTTCTTGTCTCGCTTCWCCACTGGCTGCCSACRTATAGTTCGTGCCACACATCGACCATGCACACRCGCAACCTCCTCGTGCTCGTCCGTCTYCCCACRGTTAGCCCACTCGTCTTGACTTTCAAAAGAACCTTCTCCTCTCCCGCTGATTAATCACTCATGCACCAAGCCYWCTTCTTCCCTTCCGTGTGAAYGTGCCACTTGTAGATTGCGTACCCAGGTCACAATCTCATGCTCCATCTCRTCCTCAAAACCCACTTGCTTTYCCGACTCTCTGACGGATACGGTGCTCATGCTCCGTGTTCGTGCTGTCGCTCTTGTCTCTCCGCTTGAGTAATTAGAAACTCCCGTCGTGACTCRCCAGGGGCGGTTGCAGTCCGCGTCCMAGGTGCTCTGGYCGTCCTCTTACAGGCCCTTCTATGTCTGCGGGAGTAGYG